TCTCTGCCATCATTTTTAATGACTGCATAGGATCTATCAAATGCACACCTCACCTTCCCCTCCTCCCCGATGGGCACCTAGGTTTGTTTCTAGCATTTTCCTATAATAAACAACAATGTACTGAATATTCTCCCATAAACACCTTTACACAATTGTCCAATTATTTCCTTAGAAGTGGCATTGATGGGTTAATAAGTGTATAATTCTTAAATGCCTCAAGAAACAAAAATAGCTGGCCTTGCTGAGATGCGAAGGTGAAAGAGGTCTTTTAGTAACAGAAAAACACTGTCTTCTACGCCCAGGCAAACAAAGCAATCTTCTTTCTGTTGGCCCACTCCCCTGCCTTTCACTTACCTACCAGAAAGCATGTCTATCTCACTGATAAGAACTACTAAGTTCCCTTGTGCAAAATTCAGGGTCAAATAGAGACTGTCCATGTGACAGAGCTTGGGATTTCATCTGGAAATGTGAAGTGAAGGATGGACAGAAAGTGGCTTACAGAAGCAACAAACACTCCTGAACGGCTCCCAGGGGCCGGCCACTTTGCCCCTGATGTGTGGGGCAGGCAGAGGGCTCAATGAACTCTACTGGGGACCTATTGTGTAGGGAGCACTGTAGTCACAGGGCACACCATGGGAAAGAGAAAACCCCACACCCCATCCTGAATCCTGAGGAACTTACAAACAGGATGAAAATCACAAGTAAATGCAGATACACTCAAGAAGCCCAAACGCACATGCACATAACCAATAAGGGCAAAACAGACACCGCAGGAAGGACAGCCACTGGCAAGGAGAAAGTTTCAAGAAATAAAATCTTCAAATGCTGCATTAGGTGCAGAGGACATAAACAGAACGCAAGGGCTCTCAGCCTTGCCACTGGCCAGCAGGGTGACCTTGGACAAGTCCTACAGCCCTTTGTGACCAGGTTACCAAGAAACTCTAAGCTTGATCACAGGAACCCGGCTAGCTTTGGTTTTTGCTATTTTGAGTTTTCTTCCCTTGCAATAGTGTTTTAATTTCTATTTTCTATGATCTTTATATATAAAAAAGTCTGCCATTCAGTGATTGTCTTCCATCTCCAGACACTGTTCTTGGAGTCTTCATACTCAGTCTTGACTATACCCTCGGAAGGCTCAGGCTATTCTTAATTTATGCTCTAAATGTGGTTGAGGTCACACAAATAAGTGGAATAAAGATGATTCCTGGTCTTATACTCATGGCACAGAGGAATTAATAAGTACTTTAAGGCTGGATGAGTAAATGCACACATGAATGAGTGAATTAAGTCCTAGATGCCTCTCTAAACCCATGAAGTTTTCACTATATGACTCCTCCACACATGTCTTTTTAACATGTTATCCCAAAATCTTTTTTGAAAATTAGACATGTATGAAGAATCAGAAATGAGCAAGACTTATGTTCCATCTGTAGGCAGTAGTCTAAGAGCCACAGTCCCCTTCCGTGGGCAGACTCCCCCTGATCCAGCAACTTAAAGGGTTACACTTAGCTCAGCAAGGGTCCTGCAGGGGTCTGTTTCAAGGCTTGAGCTATCTTAAATTCTGATAGGGTATAACTCCTGGAAATATATAACAACATCCTAGGACTAGTTTGCTCATTTGTACAGAATTAGCATAGTGGCCTAGAGCTGACTGCTAAGGTTTCCTCCAGCTCAAATATTCTATCATCCTCTGAGAAGACATAGAAAACAATAATGGAGAAAGCCAAGTCCGAGGCAAAGCAAGAGATAAGCTATGGGCAGTGGTAGTTCCTTAAATCCAACTTTAGCTGGCACTCTCATGTTTAGTTGAAATTCTGAATCAGTTGGAGCACCTACTAAACCTACCAACTCTCCTCCATCTCTCCTGGCTGCAAGAGGGGTTTGTTTGTTTGTTTGTTTGTTTAAAGAATCTGCATTTGTATGAGACTCCCAGGGTACTTCTAAAACTTACTCATGGTTACCACTCCCTGCTCTAGGGGGCATATCCTTGAAGCAAATGGGTTGATATTTACAGGGAGGATGTTCTCCTCTCTGGCCAGAGGGTCTTCTCCTATCCCTCATCCATATTCACTCCCTGTGCAAAGGCTAGTTGGTTTCAGAGGTTTCCATGACCTGCTGGCCCATCCCTCTAATGGCTGCTGGTGACTGTGCCATACTCCAAAGTTCCTTCCAACTCTTGTGAGCCCCTGCATCTGAACTGAAAGAAGGGGTGCAGGAGAAGCTGCAGGAGAGAAGCCAGAGTGGCAGAGTCCAGCAGCAACCTTTGGAAGAGCCAACCGAAGCTGCTGAGATGACGGCGGGGCTCGCCACACCGGTCACTGACAGGCCAAAATCAGAAGGAAAAATGAAGGTTGGGAGTGGTGACGTGCAATGTGGAACTTAAAGGCCCCAAAGCCAATCATGACCAGAACCCAAATAAGCTTTTTTGGAAAAAGTCAGGCATCTTCCACTGTCCTCAATCTTCACCTTTTCAGATTCCCTCTTCTTTGTGTTTTTAACAAGATTTGACAATGACTCGTCCTCTAGCCCAGAAAATCAATCAAATGTCCACTGACTTGGGTAGTTAATTAAAAAATAAACCCTGCGGGTATTTTTGAACGATGTTATTGTCTTCTCCTCTCGCTCTCTCACTCACACACTCCTGCACAGAGAAAAGGAGCCAGGAAGAAGGCTCAGGGGCGTGCCCTGCGGCCTAGCTGTGACACCCCCAGGTGCACCCCCCCTGAGAGCTCAGCTGCTCTACCCGGTGCAGCGCAGGTGGGAGCGCTGCCCACCTCACAGGCTGCGCTAAGGGGTAAGCGAGGCAGCGCAGGGAAAGCGCTCTGCAGGGCGCCCGGGGAGAGAGGACCACAGCGAATGGCAGTTTTAAAAAAATGCTTGTTTGCTGCCACTTCAGGGCAGAAGAATGGACAAAGCGCCACTGTTCAATAAACTGATCAACGAAAATATTATCAGAGCATCTTTTGAACACATATTAGTGAGACAGAAAGGGAGGAATCATGTGTTTCCTATCGCATGATATATGTGTGTGTGTGTACGTATGTGTGTGTGTGTATATATTTATATACATGTATAAAATATGCACTTGCTAATTCAGATTTGGGAAGTCAAGAAGCAAATGTCGATGTCCTTACTAGCATGGTCAACAAAATGTGATAAATGTCTTCCCGCTGAACTTGCTAACAGCTGGCAGCCTTGGCATCATACAATATTGATTCTAAGTACACTCCTTTCATCCTCCCACCCCACCCCTTGGCTCTTTAGAGCATCTAACAGACAGAATATTTCAGTTATAGTCCACCGAGCCCTGGGGGTAAGAACACAGAACTGGATTGGATAAAGCCAAAAGTCTCACAATGCTACGATGCTACTCTCTATGACTTTGCCACTCCAGGCTATAGGCAGCCAATGTTCTTTCATTAAGGGATTCACTTTAGAAATAATAAATCCAGGAGGGAACAGGACACTACACCCTGCCGTAGTGGAAGAACCTGAATCAGATATGAGATGAAACAAGGGATTGTTTGGGAAACATTTTAGGAAACTACTTGTTAATCTTGAATTTTGGTCTTATTTGGAGATGCCAGAAAGACCCTGAGAAGTTATTTAATTCAGAAAAGCAATTTTAAAAATAAAATATAAGCAGAAGGATGCCCTGGCTGGTTTGGTTCAGTAGTTAGATCATCAGCAAGAGGACCGAAGGGTTGTGGGTTTGATTCCCAGTCAAGGGCACATACCTCAGTTGCAGGTTTGTTCCCTGACTGCGTGTGGGAGGCAACCAATCAATGTGTCTCTCTCACACTGATGTTTCTCTCTCTCTCCCCCTCTTTTCTCACTTCTACTCTCTTTGAAAATCAATGGAAAAAATATCCTCGGGTGAGGATTTTAAAAAAAAGGAGATGGAGCATTAGCTGGTGTGGCTCAGTGGTTAGAGGGTTGGCCTGCACACTGTAGGGTCGAGGGTTCAATTCCCGGACAAGGGCACATACCTGGCTGGGTTGCAGGTTCGATCCCTGGCTCTGGGTCGGGGCACATGCAGGAGGCAACCAATCAATGTGTCTCTCTCACATCGATGTGTCTCTCTCTTTCTGTCTCTCTCCCCCGCCCCCTTCCATTGTCTCTGAAAAACAATGGAAAAAATTTCCTTGGGGGAAAAAATTGGGAAGATAAAGTTTTAAAAACAGTAAGTCCAAGAATTTTTTTAGAAGTATATTAACAAACATTCTAAAGCAGAGGACCATATTGAGGAATGATTTCTAATAATAAGCTATCATCACAGAGAAAGTAACCAGGTGTCAAAGACAGGAAGGGTTGCTTCAAGACCACAGATTGAGAAACACGGGCAAGCATAAACCTTCCAGGGCGCCAGAATGACAGACATACCCCTGACAATGGCCAAGCACGTGAACATACAGCCCCAGCGCATCTGGCCAGGATGGAAGGAAATCTAGCTGTGGGCAGAGGCGCATCTGATAGAAACCTGACCCACACTTCCAGTCCCACATTTCCTGAAGCCACAGAACATGAGCTAAACTGAAGCGGATAGGAAAAATCCCAAGGAACACATAGTTTTTATGAGTTCCATTTGTAAGACTATTTTGCAACCTTACATGATAAAAATAAATAAATAAGTAGAAAACAAGAAACATAAGCAGTTGCTGACTGAAGATATGGCCATAATTCCCTAGCACATTTCTCAAGCTTATGCACGTGAGCAACTTCAACAGAAGAGGCAGCTCTGCCCGAAGGGCGCTTGGAGTCACTGCTACCTGGGTTTGAGTCCTGGCCTTGCCATTCATCAGCTGGGCAACCTCAGACAAGTTGCTAAGACTCTTTAGCTTTCACATCCGTGCAATGGGGATGTACCTACTCCACCTGAAGTTCAAGGCAGAGACGATGTAAATGGTAGCCAGCTGTGGCCAGTGACAGCTCCATGGTTGTAGCAGGACAATCAGCCGCCTCACAGAGGTGGGACCTCTGCAGCCGCGAGAAGCACATACCTGGGGTGCCGCAGGCCTGCCTCCCCGCGGGGGGCGCGGGCTGCGGGCTGCGGAGCCTGTAGACCACATGGGGCTTGTTGTGTTCATCGTCGTCAGCCTGCTCATCAGTGGACAGCAGTGGTTCAATAAAATAATCCCCGTCGTGGGACCGGAACGTGCCCAGCTGCAAAGGAAGCGGCGAAAAGCTGATGTCATAAACAATGGAACATTTTCAAGCGGACACGGTGCCATTTCACCCGATCCCTCCGTCGTGAGGGCTGTTAAACGGAAAACGACACGGGGAGAAGCAGTTCACCCTCCTTCGCCGCCGCACCAGTTCCTTCTCCTCGGTTTGACTCTACTGCACCGGCTCCCCTAATCTGTCTCTAAGGAACATTTCTCTGGTGCTCAAGTTCTAATCGCAAATTCCCTTCTACAGGCTGTTGAAAGTGAGTGTTTCTCTGTGTGAAGACAGCCTGCAAATTTAGGCCCCAGTGCGAGCCCCAAGGGAAGAGCTGACCATGAATTCAAATTCAGGAAGCATATGTTGACCACAAGGCACTCAAGGCGGTGCTACCTGTGACACTAGCACATGAGTCTCTCACCACCCCTTCCCTTTGCAATAGGGAATGAATGGGTGCAAGGCTTTGGAGTCGGGCTGCCCTAGTTCCAGTCCCAGCACTGCCACTTACCTACCCACATCGGGCAGGTTCCTTAACTGCTGAGCTTCAGCCTCCTTGTTTGTCAATTAGGGATAAAAATACTATAAAGGGTCATCCTGAAGATTAAATGAGATAATGCATTTAAGTGCTTAACAACGTGACACCTTGTAAGGCTTAGAATACGTTAGTGGCTTTGGTGTTTGGTGTTAGCCTCCAACCAGGATAGGTTTGTGTTTGCCAATGGTTCTGAGCACCTTGAGGGAGGTAACTCTTCCTCCTGCCCTCCCCACATACCCACAGGTTTTGCAAATAATGATGAGGCCTCAAGGTTGAACCACCCAAACAAAACATTACAAGGTCACTGAAGGGTTTGCCATGCCACGCAATGCTTAAGGGGGAAATCAAGCCCTTCTTTCATCTGCACTGTTCCTTTTCCTGCACTGGAAACAAAAAGAAGGGAAAAGGAAACAAACAAACACAAAAACAACAGAGACCTTTTCCCTTCCCCTGGACACAAGGGAAATGGCTGTCCATAAAGGTCATTAAATCATCCAGAAATTTGTTAGAAATTCAAATAATCAAGCTCCACCTCAAATCTTACCTACTGAATCCAAACCTCAGGGCAGGGACCAGGAACTGGAATTTTAATGAGCCTTCCACAGTATTCTTATGCATGATAAAGTCTGTGAAGCACAGGTTCCCAAACCCAGCTAACCTTCAAAATTGTTTGGGGAGTTTTTTAAAAATTCAGATTTGAGGCATTACCCCTTATCTCCAAATTTGGAATTTCCAGGGGTAAGGTCTAGAATCTATATTTTTAAAAAGTTCTCCACCTGATTTAGGAGACACTGGATCAACGAGGGGGGCAATTCTGGTGTGGACAAACTAAGCAACAGAGTAGCTGGTTTCTGGAGAAGTGATTGAACAAATTAGTCTCACCTAGGCAGCTCTCTCTGTTTTCAATACACAACACCGGTGTTCTCTGAACACAGAGCAGGATACATACTACCCTATGTAAAACCTACTAGAGACAGGCCATAAATACTGGGGGGAAACCTGGGAGTTTATTAAAAGGGAAACCGAGGCCCAGAGGGAGGAAGTGACTTGTCCACAGTTCCCCTTTGGTGGTACAGAGCAGCTGAATAGTGCCAGTGCTGAATCTAGAACTCGGGTGTCCTGACTTTAGTCCAGTGCCTTTTCATTTTATTTTTATTGTTATTATTTTTAATCCTCACCCATGGATATGTTTTTACTGATGTTTAGAGAGAGAGAGAAGAAAGATAGAGAGAGAAACATCGATGTGAGAGAGAAACATCAACCGATCGCCTCCTGTACTTGCCGGGACCAGGGATCGAACCCGCAACCTTTTGGTGCACAGGATGACGCCAGCCAGGGCAGTGCAGTATCTTTTTAAATGAAATTCTCTTTAGGAATATAAATTCAGTCTCTGAATAGTTAAGAGCATGGGTCAGAAAGGCTGGGTGGGAACCCCAGCTCTGCCACTTAGGAGCTTAGAGACCTCAAGCAAGTCTCCAACTCTCAAAGCCTCAGTATCCCAACCTGTAAAGTGGGTTGTTCGAGGACTGGACTGCTGTGAGGATTTTGCATGACGATGCATAGGCAAAGTACTCATTACAGGGCAAGGCACATAACAGTTCACCGAACAGTATCTACATGGTGCCAAATTAATTTTGTTGTTGATTCACAAATAGTTATTTGATCTAAGAGTAATCCTTTCTTGGTGACTATGTACCTATGATATATAAGGCTCCAATACAGGAGAGAAATAAATTGATGCCGATCCTGTTGCCAAGGAGAAAGGGATAGAACATAGCACGCCAAGAACTACAATACAAGGGAGAGCACACAGGAGCCATAAGAGAAATACACATGCATCTGTGAAGGTGAAGCGGGAGACATGACAGCAGTCTCTAGGACCAGAAAGAGGTTTCCTGGGAAGGAGACAGCTAAGTCACACTTTAAAAGAAGGGCATGATTTGAGCATGAGGAACAAATAATCCAAAGGCCCAAAGGCAGTGAGGCAGGGTTAGGATGGGAGGGAAATTCAGAAAAATGAAGCAAAAGCAGATTGCCTGAAATAGAGGACTTGTAGAGGAAAGCTTGAGAGATGGCCCTGGACGTGTGGAGGCGAGAGGGGTGAGCAGGTACACTGGAAGCGGTCTGAAGCACCGGCTGGAGGGTATGGTTGTTCACTAGGCAGGGTGGAGCTATGCAGTCAGCGAGCAGGGTTGTGATGTCACCTCGCACCCAGTCACCATTAATAGGTTAATGGCAGAGATTAGAGACAAAAGATTAGAGGAAAAAACAGATAAAAATATTTCTTAGATATCAGTCCAATGAGAGAGTGGGAGAGAAGCAAAGAGGGCTAGAATTAGGGTAGGGATGCTCAGAAAAGCTAAGAGACATCTGAGATGGGCTTCAGGGAAACATACTTTACTGGTGAGGTGCGGGTGTGTGGTGATGGGAGGGAGGGGATACAGCATGGTCCACTCTGAAAGGTGAAAGAATTCCTGGGAGATTTCTTGGATGGGCCACGAGGAACATCAGAGTTCCACGGCTACAAAAATGATAAGGGGAAGTCTTGGGGCAGGGGGGAGAAGGTAAATTCCAGAAGGAAGACAAAGGGGCGAGGGTTTGGGGGAAGATTAATCACTGAAGCGTGCATATATTCAAGATGTATGTTAGAACTGCACCCCTCCTCCAAAAGAGGCAGATTGCAAGTTAAATACAATATAAATACGGTTATCAGAGTCTGGACATCTTTCTGAAGTCCCGGCCCTCAGCTGCCGCAGCTCCTACTCGCAGTTCCACGTGTGAGCTACTACCTAAAATTGCCAATAGAAATGAAGGTCCTGCCCAGCAAAATATTCATACAACTGCTGGGGCCACTCGGCGGGGTGTGGAGGCGGGAAGGGGGAGGAGTAAAGGCTGTTTACCAACGACGTACTGACGCAGCCCCATCCCTTAGGTTCTGAAATTGGGGGTGACAGTCTTGGGATCTGCGGGCGTGCCGATGTCCTTGGTTGCGCACCTGCCTCCCGCGCACAGCGGCCGTAACCTTCGGAACAGGAGGATTCCGGGACTCCAGCCCTACCCAGGTATCGAGGCAGCGACGACTCGCTGCAGCGCCCCCTCCGCCGTCGCCCAACGCCGTCTCCGCCCACCCAGTCTTCCAGGCGCGCAGCGGCTCTCTGCCGGGGTTCGGAAGGGCTCCCCCTCTTGCCAGCATCCCAGCCGGCTGAACTGCACCCCTCCCAGTCTCCGGGCTTGCCTCGCTACCCGCCCGACCCCTCCGGTGAGCGGCGGAGACGGATGCGACATCCAACCGAGGACCTCTGGACGCATTAACAGCAGCGCGTGGAGGGGACAGCCAGCACCCCGGGTAAGTATCCATGTTCCCACTTTTAAAAGATGACAGTGGGGAATGTGGGTGCTTAGGGGAAGACTAACGTGCCACCCGGGCGCCGGGAGCCGGGCGAGCCTGACCCGGGAAAGTTTGTGCGTCATAGGCGCGCATGTCGCTTGAGAAAGTCAAGGACTGCTTGGGCCAGAATCTTACTGCGGGTCCTCAAACGTCACCGTGGGAGAGGGCAGAGGCGGTGGAGGGCAAGTTGGGGGGAGGGTAGTAAACAGAGGGGCAGAGTATCAGCTCGGATCCCCCGCTAAGTTTATTTTGCTGCGCAAGAAGTGGCCGCCCCGCCCTCCCTTCTCCAGGGAAACGTGCGCCACAGGCTCCCTCTTCTGATTCCCAGTAAACTCCAACGGGTGATAGAAGCCCTAGAAAAACGGAAATTTCGTCGGGTCAGCCTCTCTAGGCTCTCCCGCAATATTTCTGCTCCTCCGTGCCACCCCACGACCAGGGTGCAGGGTCGTTCTACGCCGCACCCCGCTGCCAGGGTCCACCCGAATTTCAAGCTTCCGCGACAGGCTCCGCCCTCTTCCCCGCCCCCTCCCCGCCCCTT